AGTTTCATTTTCTATATGTAACAATGGTGAAAACCTAAGAAATCGATATTTTAACTATACTACATATGGGCTCGTTTCCTAACCGTAACTACTCCAAGATATAACAGTTAAAAGCTATGAATTTTCACAAGGCACAAATCAAATTTGTAAAATCACTTCGAAAGCATTGACACAAATAATAATTACTGTGGCACCTCAGCTCCAAACGAATCATTTCAAGATCATAGAATAGTCAAAAGTTGAAATAACATTATTTCCAAATTCATAACTTGGAACAATTACATCGTGCACCAGTTATGGTTTGGAACCGAACTGCCATAGCACTTTTTTTTGTATGAATACACCCGATACTAATAAATAATTTTATTAGACACGCGCCTACAGAAATCGTCCTCTTTTTAGTGAATTTTATCTGTTTATAATTTAAATTATAATTTATGTCACATCTAGCTATGTTGTTTAGATGAAGCCTTAACACTCGATAATATTCGTACTCGAACCTAATACTTATTTAACTTAATACTCGCCACTATCCACACATGACATGTTCAATCTTTTATTATAGCGATAATCGACACTGCAAGTCGATAACTTTCGTTTGTAGCAAATCCACTGAAATGGATTTCTTTTTATACGCATTCTGTGTACGGACATGATATGAATGTGTGTTTTATCTGTGTATTTGTAAAAGTAAGCTACTGTTGTCGAATTTTGTTTGTGTGAGACTAAAGTGACACAACTCGAAACAGCATTTGAGTGCACCTCCTGCTTGTAGTACACCCTCCCGCCCCTAAAAAAATAACAAAGTTTTGTTTGAGAGACAACTCTAATAGCGATTCCCGATCTATACGCTCTAAGTCTAGTACATTATTTTTTTCATTACATTATTTATTGCATACCCTATCCTGTGCTCTCGCAAATAATATATATGTCCTATACGTCCTTGTATGTATATTTGTAAATGAATAGGCTTATTAACACAGAAAGAGCAGCGCTATAGTCCATCTGGCTGAAATGATGATGATGATCGAAAAAATTCAAGATCCGGGACTGTCCCCGAGTTGACATAAATCCAGACGATACTAATTTATTGCACTGACAACACGAACGTTGTAAAAAATCTTGTGAAAACTATCTTAATGTAGTTTTTCTACTCCTGTACTTTGATCTGTTAATTATAATTTCATAAACCATTCAAATTCAAATAATTTATTTCGGAATATTACATCCTTATTATTGAACAAAATTATTAAGGCGCTCTTTTTAGTTCTGAATCAAAATTCTATCGTCCATGGTACTCGCTACTGAGCTGAAAAATTTCACTAAAGTTCTTTACACAGAACTATTATGAGTATCGTAGTACTGTACCATGAACTATAAGTCTTATTTGATATTTTTGAAACTCGTTATACAAGTTTCAAAAACATCAAATAAGACTACTCAAACCACTATACTGCCTCCTGATTGCTTAAATTGGCCTAAAAGTAATCGAACAAACGAACCATAAATTTTGATTAAAAATTATTAGTAAAATATATGCGGTACTTGATCAGTTCCATTCTATCTCTTTGGTTTTTGTTTTGTAGCGTTTGTTTGGCTTTCATCTAAATATACGAAGAGGCTGTATGGTGGAATCATAACCTACCCTATTAGATGGATTAAAATTTGTTTTAAAAAAATTGCGTTTGTTGTCATGGATTGTTAACAAAATACTTAAACATTAAAATATTGGTTCTGTTCATTGACCTATCAATAAATGGACGTCGGGTTCGCGTTAAAAAGTGTCCGCGCCTGTAGGGCGTTAAAATCGCATACAGAGCGTCAATCGCGCAACAGTCTTCGTTTGTTCGACTGACAGCGCGGTTGTCACTCATGCAGTACCATTTAATAATAACTTGTAAAAATTACTGCAGTAAAGTTTACAACAGGATTTTGTATCATATTTTCACTAAACAAATATATTGTGTTATCATAGTTCTCATTTAAAAGTGTTATTTTGTTCAGTTTTATAGTATTTAATTTATATTATGAATCGTAAATATAAATTACAAAAGCACATAAAATAATAAAATAGCTAACTGTCCTTTTTCTACACATTGCATGCGCAAAAGATGGAAAGAAGCAAGCAAGCAAGTCAATTTCAAGAAGCTTATAAACTTCTTGGTCATTTTCAATTGTTCGAACCGTAAGCGATTGAAATATTTGGAACAAAGAAACTATAGAGTCGTGTTGATTTTAATCTTATTTTTAAAATGACTTTTTATTAAACGTTAGCAATAAATAACAAAACATTGTTGTACTCGTTTTACAGATAGGGATTACCTATCAGAAGTCAGAAAATACATTTGCCCGAAACAACGTTAGCTCGAATTTTCATAATGTCAAATGTATTTTTTTAGGAATATTACAAAACAAAAGCTAATTTTGGCTTTGTGAGAAGCATCAAAATTACTTGAAAACGTAACGGTTTTGTTATAAATCGGTTTTCGGAATTACGGATATTTGAGTTTACGTTTAGTTGGAATATCGGTACATTTCTTACAGTACACGCTTATTTTCACATTTGTAGTAATATTTGTATGTATGTATCTGCCCAACTCTTTATTATTTCTTTAAGTGAATTTGTACAAAATTCGACGTAATAATATATATAAAAATTAATTAATATTTACGATAAAGGCTACTCCATTACTCTTGTGTCAAGTAATTTTCAGTCGAAGCCAAATATGGTATTTTTGAGCCCTTAAATTGTTGCAAGCAAAATTAGGCAGTAGTGCAATGACGTTACAATTTAAATTAAATGTTTTAGTTTTTTATATTTCGTTACATGTCATTACGTTTATATAGGTTAAGTTCGGACATTTTTTTCGTAGTTTTTGTATTAGACCCGATGTCCATTTGTTGGTAGGTCAATGGTTCTGTTTCATAATTTTATTTATTCGTAGAAAAAGTATTGTGTACAATCATTACATAATTAAGGTCTTAAAATCTCGTACCTATTACTTAGGCCACTCGGCAACGGTACTCGGCTTTAAGAACCCTCATTATGCAACGATTGCATAAAACACTTATCAGCTTTTAATTTTATACAATAAATGTTAAAATGTTGTGCCTCAACTTTTCTTATGATACCGTAAATACCATAAAGTGTTTTAAATCATAAATTGTCCTTTAATTTACTATTTAGTATAATTTTTACATTGGTTTATACGCAATATTAAAGTGTTAACTTAGTTAAAACATATATATTATATAAATCTGTGATAAATTAGTACTTATCTGTATCAAATAAATTATACCAAATCAACTTACTACTTTCTGCAGTTTTATTTAAAATAGAGGCCATTGCTAATCACTGTTATGCTAACAAATTAACAAGTCTTTCGAATTTTTCGTGCATAATTATGTATTTTATTCATTTGTATGTGTTGTGTTCTAAAAGCAGGAAGTTTTAATCGTTACAAATTAACACGTCGCTACCCTAAAATATATTATTTCGCCACATACATCAGTCATCACGTGGGAATTATACATAAAATCCCATTGATATGCTTTTTAAAACTTCCTGTTTTTTAAAATTATCTATTATGTTTGATCGATGCTATGATTTTCATTTTATGCTCTAATAAATGACAATTTTGCCTGCGTAGTACCTAGTATGTTTCATTATGAGTATTCAGGTTATTAAAAAACAGGGATATAAGGTTTGGAACCCATTTGGTTGCACTGATGTGCATGCCACTCGCACTAAAAACACTTTGTGAATGGGACGTCGTCGCTTGCACGCGGCCGCGTACGCGCCACTCTTACTGCGGCTACGTGATAGTCAACGGCCTAAACAACGCGGCCGCACGCGATCGCACGATTGCTCCCAGTGATGCCTTCTAGCTTTATCGGTGACCACGTCGGTTCATGGAAAAATGTGATATATTGTACCCTACGTAAAGACTACATTGTATTAATGTAATGTCTCGCTAAATTATATATATCTATATATACACATATATATCATATATATGTAGGCATTTTATTGCATATAAACTTTAATCATATTAATGTATGACTCGGGCTTGTTTATATCAAGCTACTGGAAAGCCCTATGAAGTTTGACGTATAATGCTTGTCTTTGTAGGTGGATAATTAAAAAAAAATCTTCAATACTTAATGTGTTTTCAACTCTTAAGGTTACTTTTGCTTTAGCTTTTTTGACAGTCAAGATTTGCGTAAAGTAAAGCAGTTCGCTTCCTTTTTAGTGGTAAGCAATAAAACTGTGAAACAAACAATGAACATAAACCTGATAAGTATACTTACTCCAATAAAAAATATATAAATTTAATCTAATTGAAATGAAATCGACTTAAAAGTAGTTCTTCGAAATTAAGGTGAAGTAGTTTTCAACCAAAAAGCGAGCTATTACGATCGGAAACATTAGCGTAGAAATCTGCAAACGCACTTGACAGACTAATTTTAATGTAGATTTTATTAGGAGGTAATTTATACTCAAATTTCTGAAATTTACAATAGTGTTAAACGTTGGGTAAACAAGTTTCGGAATGAAATTCATATAATGTTACAAAACTGAAGATAGCGGCACCTTTTTCGTAAAGTAGCGGCCACTTGGGCGGACCTAACATATAGCATTGCTCTGTATGGGGTTGCTCACAGCGCCTTGCCACTACGCGACGCGAAAGCTGTATATAAGCGAATTCATATATTTAAATGAGATTTAGATAAAGTTGCAGTGTCGAGGCGATAGCCGTGACTGTGTGAGTGAGAATCACTGTAAGCTACACATTGATTTGTTTATCGTTCACTTTTCAATATTTTGGGGATTCTGTTCAGAGATCTTTCATGATTCTTCAATGCAGTTCAATTCATGAGGCAATTTCATTTATCCAATGGCCTTACTTTTGTATTTCCCACTTTGTCATTGTTTTTAACTGCTCGAGGATTCATTCATGGAGATAAGACGAAGTAAAGTATTCTTATTTTATTTCCAGGTATGGGCCTCGAGGCAATGCACCTCCTCCTGGATATCCTCCAATGGGGCCAAAAGTTATACCTCCACTAGGAAATATTCCAATGCAAGGCGAACCTCCACCAGGATATCGTGGTCGCTATGATGGTTTACCTCCCTTTGAAGATGTCCCGCCGGGCGTTGAGCCTCCTGTACCTGGATTTGAACCATCTCCTTTTGAGAAGCCGCCTTTCGGTGCACCAGGATCAATGGATCGCGAACGAGGACCGGCACCTAATTACAGAGAGCCTTACAGGCCACCCTTTATTGAAGGCCCAGGCCCAGGTCCAGGTTACAGAGATATGCCTATTCCACCAGTACAAAATGAAATTCCAGTTCATGTTGGAGATCAACCGCCTCGTTATCGCGATAATTATCGGCCGGGTCATCAATATCGCGATCAAGGTCCTATGCCATTCCGCGAAGGCCAGCCATATCGTGATTCTGGACCGCCCCTTCCTTACCGGGACGGACCACCTGGACCTGCGCGTGAATTTAGAGGTGGACCTGCTAGTCAATTTCGAGATAACTCCTATAGGAATAATCATCCGTATAGAGATGGTAACTTTCGAGATAACCCTCCCCATAACTTTCGTGAAGGTGGTGCACCGTTTAGGCCCCCAAGTGCGGATCCGAGGGATCCAGTGCCACCAAACTATCATGATCCTAACTACCGTGATGGTTATAGAGATGAAAATAATAGAGAAATTGTAAGGCCAGGTTATAGGCCAACTTCACATGGCCGAGGTGGTTCAAGACGTAACCCTAATATAGAACACGAAAGGCATAGAGACAGAGGTCGTGAGCGCGAACGATTTAATGACAATAGGGATGTTACGGATAGAGCAGAAAGATCGCGTGATGATAAGAGACCCGGTTACGAAAAGAGTCGCGAAGGCCGTGAAGATCGGCCCCGCGATTACGATAAAAACCGGGAATATGAAAAAGAAAGAGACTATGATAGAAATACACCTGATAAAAAAGTACGTGGCTCTCCAAAGCGTAGCAGAGATGGAAGAGATAAGAAGCGTAGTGAATCTCGAGGAAGGTCCCGTGAACGTGATCGGGATGTAAAAAGAGAGAAGAAAGACGAAAGAGTTCGCGATAAATCGTCTGCTGATGGAACCAAGGAACACAAAGAAAAAGAAAAGAAAGAAAAGATAAAAGAAAGAAAAAAGAAGAAAAGAGAAAAAGATACTGAAAAAGAAAAGAAAAAGAAACGGGATAGAAAGGACAAAAAAGACAAAGATTTCTTAAAGAAAGACGATGAAAATGCAGAAAAAACGGAAGAAAAAGGAGATGAAAAAGAAAGTGATAGTCAACAATTAAACCAGCATGACATAGATAATACTGAAAAGAATGAAACAGAACTTAGAACCTTACACAAAAAAGAAGAATCGCCTAAAGTAGAGTCTGATGAGCAGCCAAAAGATGACCTATATGGAGATGAAGCTGCTGAAGCTGTGGATAAAGAAATCATACAAAATTATATTAAGACGGAAGAAAATGACACTATTGATGATCAAAAAAATATGGAACATTTTACCAAAGAAGAACCTTTTGATGGAATAGAACTTCAAGCGAATACTGATGAATTAGACTTAAAGGTAGACTTTGAAACTACTCCTCAAAACAAAGAAATGTTAGCAATCCTACCGGAATTATCTAAATGGGAAGTTGAAGACGATAATATGGAAAAATTAAAGGAACCTGGTGAAATCACGTCGCCGGAGGAGGAAGAAGATAGCGGTAAAGTTACGTCAGAGGTAATCAAACGAGCTGAAAATGCTATATTTGCAAAAGCAATTAATTCTTTGAGACCAATAGAAATTAAGAAGATAAGCAGCGATCGTGCGAAACTGTACAGTGACGAACCGCAACCTAAAAGTTCAATCCAGGTAACAGTTCCTTTATCTGAAACTGAAACACGAGCTGTTGAAATAAATGATAAGAAACGGCGATATTCCAAAACACCACCACCTAGGCTATCAGTGAAAGAACGTTTAGGCGGCAAAGTAGAAGATATTCGTAGACCAAGAGAGCCTCGAGTGGTTCACAGTACAGTAGAACGTGTCAAGTCTCGATCTAAAACTCCGAAAAAGGATCAACCGTATCGCAGAGTCACGTTGGAAAAAGATAGAAACCGTAAACTTGATGATATAAATAGACAGGAAGTTCCTAAAAATGAGAGACGCGTGGCATCGGAAGCCAGTAAACCTGAAAAACACAACATCCGGAACTCTGGCAAAGATAATAAAAAGAAAGATGCGGAGAAGTTTATTAAACCCGAAAAACCTCATCACGAAGAAACTTCAGAATATCGTCTCCGTGTTGATAAAAATATAAAAGACGAGAAACACTCAACTACAGATCGTGAAAGAAAGAAATCTACGTTGGATGAAGCGCATTTTGAACCTGATTACGATGAAAATGTCGAGTCAGAAAACGAAACAAAAGACGAAACTTTGAAAAAGAGGAACCGATCCCGCTCTCCTATGGGTCCAACAGAGCCAAAAAAAATCAAACTTGATAAAAAAAATGACACAGAAACTGACACTATAAAACTTGACTTAACTAATGTGAAAAAGAAGCCTGATTCAGACAGCGAATCATCTAGTTCTGATGTTTCGTCTTCCTCATCTTCATCAGATGCACGCAAGCGCAAGAAGAAGAAAAAGCGGGCAAAGAAAAAGAGGAAGCGCGCTGCTAGCGATAGTGAGAGCGAATCAGATTCTAGTTCCGACGACCATAAGAAAAAGAAGAAAAAACGCAAGCATAAGAAGAAGTCCAGTAAAAAGAAGAAGAAATCTAAACATAAGTAAGTGTTTAGGTTAGTTCATTGAATGTTTTAATTAACAAGTTTGTAGTGTACCCACACATATTAAGGTATAATATAATAGTTTTATTTTGGATCGTCAAGCTTGGTTTTCAAGTTAATTAGAATATAGGTAGGTATGTATTTAGAGGATTGATAAAATGATGTTATAAAATTCTGCATTCAGATACTATGTACGAAAATTTAAAAAATATCTAAATAAAAAAAAGGATTGAAGTCTACTTATAGTTTTATTTAATTGTAAGCTATAGTTGCTCTGTCACGAGTGTGGTATATGGTATGATCATCGAGTATATCCTATGTACTCAATGGATATGATGCAAGCAGAGCAAGACCGGTCGTTTTGGCGATCTTTGGGGGACGTGCCTATCGTCCACCAGTGGACGTCATACATGACAATAATCTACAAATTCTGCGCCTTTTTTTTAATATGTACACATTTGACCTCCATAATCTCACCTGATGGAAAGTGACAGTGAGGTCGATGATGTAGCGACCAATCATAAAATTGTATCGCACACTCTCCGGTTATATATCCTGTATAATATCGATAAATGGGCGTATGCCTTATTTTAGCGAGGTCATGGTCGTGTTTTGGAAATTTGATTAGCCAGAAAAAGTCGCTATTTAGTCGGTTCTAGTCGAACTAGTCATACTATTTGAAGGTTTTAATAATGTTTAGTTTTTAATACAAGGAAATTAGCAAAAAATATACAGGTATTTTTCCTTAATGGCATTAGGATTTATCGTTTGCTATTATATTTATTAATAACGAGATAAATTTATAATGAGGCGACCGAGGCGCGTGGGGTATAGTCGTGTACGACAATTGATCAGAATAATTTAAACACTCGCACAAAGATCAATATTCATTTAGTAGCCAGGTTTGAAATGTATACTAGTAGAAATTTATTATCATAACCTTCTGGGTTACAGACATTGCAGGGCGTGGTATTTTTTTCTGTCTTCGTTGTGGTTATGTTCGCAGGAACGCAAGCAAATACAAAAGTAACAACAGAGTAAAACCAAACCTTAACAAAAAAACAACGAAAAATCCATAATTAAAAACAAAAACTCACAACACGACGCATAGGCAGCAAGAAACACATTCGGTAACTACAGCTGCTAGAAACCGAATGAAGAAAATCGCCGTGATGCACTGGTGGGAATGCAACCCGACGACCTGACTCGTTATCCATCTATATCTCCAAATCTATCAAAAACAAACTTTATTTTTAATTCATTGTATAATTACACGCTATTTAGTAATGATCCAATTTATATTTTTAATTTTATTATTGTTAATAAAAAATATTTCATTTAATAAATTGTTATAGCAATAAATTATTCACACTCCTGCTTAAACGTATTTATGTTTATTTATGTAACAAATAAAAAAATGATAAAATGGACAGCCAGAGGTTGTTCATCCCCGAAACATTGCGAAATAATCTTTCCAACGTAGTTTTTTCAAATTATCTTGTTAAATATGGTGTTTTAAATAAAAAATATGATTTGATAATATTTTGTTTGTACACGCCAGCACATCAAGTTACGCATTGACGTATCTTGTTCCGTTGCACTGCGATTTGCTGCGGCGATTTTCGAACAAAAATGTGTAGTCTGATGTGCCGTTGTCCGTTAAGTACCTACACAATTTAAAAACAATATAAAATATCTAGCATTAATTTTTAGCCCTTTTGACTGTTCCGCTATTCGTAGAATATTTTTTTTTGTAATGACATTACCTTTGTTTACATTTATGGATTTTGATTTCATCTCAGAGTTTGGAGAGGCTTTAATTTTCCTACTGTAAGAGGTAACAATAAGTTAATAAATAAGCAAGTGACGAAGCCCTGTCATTAGTCATCTGGTCATCTTTGAGCGCACCAGTGCCACCAACTAGGAGTCGAAATGGTCGCCATGAACATGGTCGGATAGATAGAGAAATTTAATTGAGGATAGAATTGGCTATAGACAATAATAACATGTTTTATGCCTATTTTTATTAATTGTTATAAAGCGGTCGTTTTCTATGAACGAATCGATAAATAAATGTGCCAGGAATCGATCAATGGCTTGGCTACAAAATATAAAATTCCTTGTACTATGAATGTCAAAGTTTTTTGAACGGGTACGTTTTTATGTTTTTACGGGTAGTGCACCCGTAATTCTTTGACCATAACATATTTAGTTGAAATAAAGTTTCGTATTAGTGTAACAGGAAAGTATTGGTGTAACAGGAAATCGAACGTTCCTGATATAGAGCTCGGACTGCTACCCTCTTAAGGGCTGCATCCTTTTTTTTAATTAATGGTTGTATTGTTTACAATTTTCTGTTTTCCTGTGCTACTACTATTTAGCCTATTCAAAGTTGGTGTTGTTTTTCATGGTGTTTGTATTAAAAATAAATAACTAACTTTTGTTTAAAGTTTTAAGAGGTAACAGATACGAAACTGATACAAATAAAATGATGGAACAATCTTTTAATTAAATAAGAATACAATGGCATAGTCAATTATTTGGTCAAGTGTGAGTTGTCCATAAAAACGAATAAAATTGATCAATATTTTTAAAGCTGATAGACTCAGTTCGGGGTCAATTGCCACTCGTGGAGACGAGCGGGTCCTGGGGTTGGGTATTATAACCCTTGGGTGTCACAGTAGGGTGAGCTGCTTCAGACGGGAGACCCTGCCGGTGGGACGGTAGGTTTCTCTACCATCCTCAGCAGCTGGTGTCTGGTCCGGTGGGGCTTCCTCGGGCCCAAGTAGGTCCCTTGGAAGCAGTTTCTGGTCAGGGTGTAGGGCTCGGTGTGGTGCCAGTCCCTGTGTATGGCTATACAGGGATTGTCAATTTTTTCAATTTATTATTAGTATTAAGGGAAGACCATGTTCCGGCGCGCCGGAAACGCTTGAAACCGGAAACGCGTGGATCGCCTGGCCTCTTGGCCACGAAGCTGTCGAGGCTCTCCATGCTCAAGTCCCGTTGGATGACGTCATTCCTCACATATCGTGGGGCGTCTGTGATGCACCACAAGGTCAGCGACTGTTGGGTTCTGAGTCACTGCCTGTTGCACTCTCCTACCAACGCGTACCATGCTGGGGCTGCATATGTTAGGCGGGATTTAATGTACGTCTTATACACTCCGAGTTTCACTAGTAGTGGGAGTCGGGACTTGAGAATCGGTCGCAGGAGAGCGCGGGCTGCGCGGGTGTTCTGCACGACGTTCTTGATGTGATGGGCCATAGATAGTCTTCTATCGATTGTCACCCCTAGGTATTTCACCGTGGGGGACCACTCGATATCAGCCCATCAGTGTCAGCTTCGGTGGCATCTTCTTCAAGTTGCTCATGCTGATCGCCTGGGTTTTGGTGACGCTGACCGAGAGTCGCCAGTCATCCAGGCAGGGAAGAAGCATGTCCAGTTGGCGCTGCATCTTGAGCGCCGCGTGAGACGCGGTGATGGAGGTGGTCAGGTACGCGGCGTCGTCGGCGTACAAGGCCAGGGTGGCCCCTTCCACCAAGGGGATGTCATCCGTGTATCGAGCGTAACACACGGGTGACAGACAGCTTCCTTGTGGTACTCCGGCGCTGATGGTGCGTTCTGAAGAGGTCTTAATTACTCGACGAGGAGTAGTAGAAGTGGAGATCTTGTATAGCAGGTCGGGGTGCCCGAAGAGATCGAACGCCTTCTCCATGTCCAGGAGTACTGCGAGGGTGTGTGCCTTCTTGTTAGAAGCCACCGTCATGTGGTGGAGTACTCTGGCAAGCTGGAGAGGCGTGGAGTGGAGGCGGCTCGGAAGCCGAACTGCTCGTCGCGTGGCTGGATGTGTGGAGCCAGATGCAGCAGCAGCAACCTCTCGAAAACCTTAGATATGGTGGGTAGCAGAGCGATGGGCCGATAGCTTTCCGGTTTCGGGATGTCTTTCCCCAGTTTCGGGAGCATGATGACTCGACCGAGCTTCCAGGAGTTTGGGAAGTGACCTGTCCTCATGATGCCGTTGAAGATACGGGTCATCACCTTCGGTGGTGACGGAGGGCTTCGTTTCTGATCCAGTCTGGTCCGGGAGCTTTCTTCCTTTTGGCTCGGCGGGTCATACGCAGAACTTGTCCTGGTGAAAAGACAATGGGATCCTCGTCGGAAGCTATCGGTGTAGCGAAGTAATTTTCGAGGTGCTGCTGGATGTTGGCTGCATGCTGATGGTTCACGGACGAGTTTGTGCGGAACTGTGTCTCGAGGTGATCGGCAAAAATCTCAGCGCGGTCTTCGGTTCTATAGCGTGCACAGGTTGCGTTTTCCCGCTGAGATAGCGGCATAGTTTATGGTTGCCTTTCCAGTCGTCGCCGGTTGAGTCGATGGTGTGTTGCCAGGATTCGGTGGCATGGGATTCTAGCTCTTCCGAGATCCTTGCGGCCATGGTGTTCAACCGGGTTTTCGTGGTTGGGCATTGGGTTATTTGCCATTGTCGACGCAGTTTCCTTTTCTCCTCTATCATCGACAGGATTCTGTGGGGAGTTTGTTGGGTGCGTTTGTGGCGTGAAGGGGTGTTGGCAGTAGCTTCTAACGCTACGCGGATGCTGTGGGCGAATTCTTCAGCTAGTTGGTCAACTTCTTCGGCGTTGAGCACTGGGCGCGAGGGTGTTTTCTCCGCCATATAGTCGGCGAAGGCTTCCTAGTTCTATAGATGTTTGGGTCGAGGAGGCACCGTCCGTGTTGGCGACTCTTCTAGGGTAATCAGGACGGCTTGGTGGTCAGAGATGAGGTGTTCATCCAGTACTTCCACAGCTGGTGTTGTGGGTACATCCTTCACTACCACAATATCTAGGACGTCCGGAGAGTGGGTCGCCCGATATGGGTAGTGTGTCGGGACTTCAGGTCCTATGACTTCGTAGCCGCGGCGTTCTGAGAGGTCGAACAATCGTCTACCTTGCGGGCAGATTCGGCTTGAGTTCCACGCCGTGTGCTTGCAGTTCAAGTCCCCCGCTACGAGAGTCGGCAGGT